GGCGTATGCGCATGCGATGGCGTAACAGCTGCCGCAGTCTTGTTGGTTGATGACATCGTCCCTGCCGAGCTCGCCCTCCCAGCTGAAACTCGCCGGCAGCTCGTGCTGGCCGCCTCGCGTCTCTGTCGTGGGTGGTGTCGAGGTGGCGGCCAACGGGCAGGGGAAGTTGCTGGCGAAGAGAGCACGCGACTGCAGGAAGGACACCCCACCGCTTCGCCGCAGCACGGAGCCAATGGTGAGTCGGCGGCCGGGTTTGCCGGCGAAGCGCACGGCAGACGAGGACGGGATGACGTCATCAGTGGGCGGGTGGTGGTGGTACCTCACGAAGATTGGCCGGCGGGAGGCACACACGCCGGTGTCGATTGCTGTCGTTGTTGTTGTGGGCGTGTTGGCGTCGCCCTCATTGTCTGGTTGTGTGCTGTCGGCTGAGGGGGCAATGTGGCGCACATAGTTTGTGGTGCGAGGTGGGCGGGGAGTGCGGCTGCTGAGCTTGGACCCGACGAAGCAGCCATACTCAGACGCGTCACTGTGCCAGCCGATCTGTGCAATAACACAAACACACAACACACAACACACACAAGTCGTGTTTGTGTGTGTGTGTGTGTGTGTGTGTGCTCGTGTTGCATGTGTGACCTGTGTCCTGTGGCAGTGGGAGACGTAGCACTGAGTTCTGCCGTGATTGTCCTCACCTGTGAGATGGAAACACACACATGGGAGATGCACGTGTGTGCCAACGGCCGGCTGGTTGGCTGGTTGGGTACCTTGTCCGTTGTGCGGCGGAGGGCAGTTGGCTTCAGACGTGGGTGCATAGTGGCTGAAGGCGAAGAGCACTCGGCCATTGTCGAGGCGCACCTCAAAACCCTGATAAACAACATCCACGGAGACATGCAAACATACGGCCATCCATTCATCCATCGATTCATTCGGCTGACCTCGTCGTACACCATTGTCCATCTGCCGATGTCACCGCTCGTCCTGTCGCCATCCCTCACCACCAGCCGCTTCCAGTCCTCACGGCCGCTCGTTCCGTCAGCCGCCTCGTCTGTTGTGAGCTGTACAGTGATGCACTCACCCACGCCGCCACGGTTAGCCTCGAGCCACGACGAGTAATTCTGCACACGCACAGAGGAGAGAATAGGCTAGCAAGTGCATGTCTCTGGTCCTCTCATTCATATGCTGACTCACCGACAGCCGCAGATTGCCCAGATTGGTGTTGGGAGTCTGCACACAGAAAGCATGCGGCACTGTGTCTCTCTCATTGGCGCATCCTCTCAGACTGACAGTCATTCACTCACGTCGCTCCCACAGCGAGGCAGTTGGACGTCTCTGTCTCTGTCAAGGCAGAACCGCCAGATACCAGCGACGTCGCTGGTCAGGCAGTGGACAGGCAAGTCAGATCTGACGTCGCGAATCAGAGCCAAGAGGACGATGAGAGCCAACAGGAGGCCCTTCATGGTCATCTCGGAGGCGTGCTGCTTCTTGCAATTGCAACCCAGGCGAACAGCAATGACCGGCAGTGAGGAGTCTTAAGCAATCTGCAATGACGAGCGAACACAGACATGTGTGTACACATCGATCATGCGTGTACACACAAACACAAACATTTCGTTCATTCGTTCGTTCATTTAGCTTCTCTGCAATGTCTTCATTATTCACCTGTCAGTGACAGTGTTCGGCGTCGGCACAGCCATCAATGACATCATCTGTGCGTCACTATCTGTGCGTCACTCTGACTGTCAACCCTCCGCAGCTTTGCAATGGAGAGTGGCTGGGGGTGTCAATCACTTCATCCGAGCAGGACGTTGGTGCGATTCATGGCCTGCCATCGGGGGGGGAGGGAGGGACAAGTCACGTCTCGAATGCGAGCTCAAATCTGACAGATCGCAATGACAGATCTGACGATGTCCCTCACCGGTAGCAGAATGAGAATGGAGGGAAGAGCAAGGCGGTGATTCTCATCTGTTTTTCTCGTTTGGTTTTTCCCCTCCTCAGATTCGTTCGAGGCCGTCACAGGTCAGCTGACAGATCTGGCACGTGATCTGGCGACCAAAGCGCTCGAGGGCGACAGGCCGGCCATCGCCATGTGAGCAGGCACACGAGGAAGGCAGAAATCACCCAACTCACCCTCTCCCTCGTCCCTGTCGCAGTCTCGGTTCGGCCGCTCTCGGTGGCATCGCTGTCGTTGGCGTTGGCCTGTCGAGGTGCTTGTGTCCGAAGCGCAAAGCCAAAACCCAGCCACCGGTGTCCGCATCCAAGGCCAAGAAGAGCGCTAAGAAAACTGCCAAGAAGGCACCAGCGGCAACGGCCGACGAGGTAACAACGCCACCCTCCCCTCCGCAAGCCGAGACGAAGACCACCTCAGCAGCGGACGAGCCTGCTGCTGGAGGCAAGAAGAAGGGCAAGAAGAGCAAAACTGCCTCCGCCAACGTGCCCGCGGAGGAGACGGCCAAGGCGGCCGTGACCCCGGTGGACGATGACGCCGCCTTGGCGGGTCAGGACGATGACGACGAGGGCTGGCATTACGTGTCGACCAAGAAGAGGAGGGGAAAGCAGGCAGCTACCTGACGTGATGTGCTGCAGTTGAGTGAGAGAGAGAGTTGGCGATTGGTGGCACGACCCATATTGGAGGGGAACAGGGTTGGAGGGGAGCCGAGCTTCCCAAATTGAAGCTGTCGTAATTAGCTGGGTGACATTGAGGTGGGTGTGCATGATAGATGGGCCATGTGTGGCTGGGTGATGGTGAAAAGGCGATAGCGTGTTACCTGGTCGTCTCTGTGTCGATCTTCTTTTTGGCAAGTGCACCACGTGGCAGCTGTTATTTCTGCTGACGATAAGTACCTTTGCCTTCAAGTGTAAGTGTTGACGTGCGTGTACGTGTACATGTGAGACGAGAGCATCAAGCTGTGTCTAATGCAGCTCACAAACGCAGCTCAAGATCGTTAAGCATTCCAGAGAGAAAATCAATCGACAGTCGGTCGGCACCACCACAACAGCTACAAAATGACCATGTCCCTGTCAGGGCCGTTCCCCAAGATCGAAGAAAACAGCAATCGCCTCAGTACACACATGGAGTGGATGGATGGAAAAGCCTACACACACACTGCATGCCATGCGAAGAGAGCAATGACACAATTACATGCGAGCCCAAAAAGCAGGTCGGGTGACAAAGGCAACAACAAGGCGTGCACTACAACATGACATCATCGATCTATCACGAGACAGGCGAGTCGCCCACCACAGTCGAGTGTTCCATTACTCGCGAGGAGCCATCACCCGCCAGTGCACTGCTGGTGGCCGCATTGTCGCTCTCCCTCTTGGTCCCACCTGCACCGCTCGATGGTGCGATGAGAGTCCGCTGGTGCGTCAGCCAGTAGATGACCTTGGACACGGTGAGGGCCAGCCAGCAGACGAGCATCAGCAGCACATACCCCACCATCCAGTCGACCTTGTTGCCGTATCGCGCCTTAAATCCGTGGTATTCCACGAACACCTGGGACACGTACACAGTGTTCTCCACCACGCGAATCAACAGGACGACGAGGCACACACTGATCGATAAGGACACGTGGCGGTGGCGGTGGTAGAGTAAGGGAAAACAGCCCACGAGCGACACCAGCACCACCAGCAGCACGTTCACGACAGCGGGGTTGTCTCGGAACCCAGGTCCCACCAGCAGCAGCACCAGATAGAACGTATGCACCGCGGCAAACGCGCCAATCGTCACGAGATCGCGAAAGGCCAGCGCAATTGCCCACATACGCAGATGGACGTCAAAGAAGTAGTACGAGAGGCCGAGCAGCAGCTCCAGCCACGGTCCCACCTCAGTGAGCTTTGGCACAACGCGGCAGAGCACTGCGATGGTGCTGCGACTGTCGGATGACCGCACACCCGTCGTGACGAGCAGCTTGTCCGTCTGGTCGCGCTGCAGGTCTCGCGCCTCCACAAACGACACGTCAGCCACCTCCTCCTCGCCACCGCGGACACTCGAGGGGGCCCCCCTGGTCGCCTGGCTGGTCTGATCGTGATGCGAAGGGCTGTCCTTGTGGGCCGTCGAGCCCTTCTCTGTGTCGAGCTCTCGCGTGTCGATGTCCGCATAATGCCGCTGGCCGGACAGCAGGCTGTCATGCTGTTCGCTGGTGGCGCCGCTGTCTTCGGCTGTGTCGTCGAAGGACTCGTTCAACAGCAGCAGGAAGGCGAGATAGATGCAGCAGGCCAGCGCACTGCCGATGTTCATGCCGATGTTCTGATCGGTGAACTGGCTCTTGTGCAGCGTCACGTAGATGTAAAAGGCACTTGTGGGGATGAGGGCCACGATGGCGTGGACGGTTTCAAACTCCCTCGTTGTCTTGGTGAACTTGCCCAGCCGCCAGCTCTCCACCGCCTCGGGAAAGATGTGGAAGCCGACAATGGCCAAGATCGCCTTATGCCACTCGCCGTGCGTCGCGTAAAGCACGCCACTCAGCCAAAAGCCTACAGCGCAGACAACGCACACTCTTTGCAGCGGCACACTCCATGGTGTGTGTGTGTGGTGTGTGGTCCGGGTTGCTGACCGACCGGCAAACTCGAGAGCGAGCGTCAAGTAACACCAGTGGGGCCTCAGACGGTAGTACGACGCGGCCGTGGCAATCACAATGACTACACTGGCCACATGAATGATGACCGACAGCAACACGGAACACCTGCAGGGACCAAGACAGTCACAATCAGACAATGACAGACATGCAGCGAGGCGACGTGAGCCCATGCATTGCGTGTGGAGTGGAAGTGGGTGCAGGGCAGTCCGCCACCCACCTGATCCATGCGGTGAGTTCGCTGAACTCGGACTTGATATGGAGGATGGGATGGGCCAGCTGCCCGCTGGACCGATTGTCTTCGTCAGTGTCAACCATCAGAGGAGGACGTGCTCTGCACCGACTCAAAGCTCGAAGGGAGGTTCAAGCAGCAGAGATCCAATCTGCGAGCTTAGAGTTGCAGGGAAGAAAGAAGCACTTCTCCCCTAAATTGTACGGAGCTGATGCTATACGACAGCGGTTAAGATCTGAGAAAAAGCGATGTGTCGGTTGACGGCAGTGATCAGTTCGGGTGATCCCATTCTCCTGGCGGACATCATCACACGACCCAGGTGAACCAGACGACGAGATGAGCTTACTTGTGCATTTATCTGTTGCTTTTGCTGTGTGTGCCTGTCTGTGTTGTGTGTCAGGATGTCTGTGATCAAGCAGTCGTTCAACTGCCAGGTACACACTGCACTGAAGTCGGGCAATGCCCAGCAGACAGACAAAGGTCACCATTTCACCATCGATGGCATCCGTCTTGTCTGTGGTCCACAGGAGCGTCTGCGTCACGACCCCAGCATGATCTCCAGCCCATACCAACAGTCATTCCTCAACGGTAGGTAAATGACACAGACAGCCATGTGCACCGGGCGTCTGAGAGGTGTGTGTGTTGGTGTGTGTCTGTGTGTGTCAGGTGATGGCTACGGAGTGGGTTGGTATCTGCCTCAGGCGTTGGAGTCGTCGACTGCCCGCGATGCCGACTGCCCGTGCGTCTTCACGTCACTCAAGCCAGCATGGGCCGACAGGAACCTCGAGATGATTGCGGAAAAGGTATGAAGGATGGCACACGGATCGTAGGGAGCGGGAAACCGACGAGTGGCTTGCTGTGTCGGTCTTGATTGTGATGCGGTGACTCGGCGCAGACCCTGAGCCCATTGATCTTCGCCCATGTGCGGGCAGCCGGGCCTGGATCGGGGTGAGATGACGGCTGAGCCGAAAAAGATTCCCCCTCAGTGCATCTCACGGTTGCATCTCTCACTCTGTGTGTTTGTGTTTGGTCAGTGTGTCCACTGAGCTGTCGTGCCATCCCTTTGTGTACGGCCGTTTCCTCTTCATGCACAACGGCTGCATCGGCGAGTTCCAACGTGTCAGAAGGTCACACACACACACACACACACACACCATCACAGCACAGCACACCCATGGCGTTGTCCGTCTGTCTGTCTGTCTGTCTGTCTGTCTGTCCGTGGATGGCGTGTGCGAGTGCAGGGCCTTGTTGGGTCTGTTGAATGACGAGGCCTTTGAGTGGACCGTGAGCAACAGCTGCATCGACAGTGCAGTCATATTCGGGCTCTTCATCTCGCGACTCGACAGAGGAGGTATTGTACCGAGACACGCACACACACAGCACGAGTCAACCCATCAGAGGCTCCCTCCCTCCCTCTGGTGTCTGTCTGTCAGGTCGCGGCGCGTACAGTGCGTCCGAGCTGCGCGACAAGTTGCAGTGGACCATGGCGACCGTCGTGGCCGTGTGCGAGCAGCACAACGTCCAGGAGACCTCCCTCCTCAACGTCGTCATCTCCGACGGCCGCACCCTCCTCGCCACGCGATACGTCCGGCCCCCCACCTCCCACCTCCCACACGCATCCCCTTCCCACACGGCCCAGGACCACCACGACCACCAGCCGCCACCGTCGAACTCGACGGCAGCGAGCGATGAGGAGGAGGAGGAGGAGCGCATCGTGGCTGCCGAGGAGGGGGGACAGGCGGCATCACTCTACTTCGCAACGGGTAAGTGGGTTGGTGAGGGGGAAGGGAGGGAGTGTGTGGTTGATTTGATGTGTCACGGGTGTGTGTAGGGACTGGTTGGGCGCCGACGCATGCCGGGTCGGACATGTACGAGATGTGTCACAAAGACAGAAGGTCAGTCAGCAAGAGAATCGAATCCTCTTGGCAGGATTGATTGTCTTCTCACCCTCTCTTGTCGTCCCTGACATCCATCCATCCATGCATCAGGATAGAGGTGGCCATCATTACATCCGAACCGCTCACCCTCTACCCAGAGGTACACACAGCGCCTGCCCTGCACTTATAGCACCCTGCTCGCATGAGTAATGTTATGTGCAGGAGTGGGTGCCCGTGCCGTCCAACCATCTAGTGGTATGTGACGGCAGCAGCGGCACCCCCCTCGCAGACAGACCCCCACCCCTCCCCCCGTCGCCCGCCGTGCTGCCCATCTGGTCGGCCAACCACCCCTTTCCCATCCCCAGGCCCATCCCCAAGACCATCGATGTTCTCATCACACCAATGCCTTCTTGCTGCTCACGCCACATTAGCAAGGCCGTCATGGGTCCGCCGAGCAGACTGGTGGAGGTGGAGAGGGGCACGGAGGTCGACACGGAGTGGCTTGAGCAGGCCAGTCCCAAAAGGCCCGTGCTCGGCACCAACCGCTCTCTCGGCCGTGCCATGACACCGCCCCCTTCGCTGAGCTGCGGGGCGATGTCTCTGTCGATGGAGCTGTCGTCGCCCGCCGGCATCAAGTGGGTGCTGCAGTCGCTCACCCCTTTCCACCGGCACTCGTTCAGGGCCCACGGCGACGCCATCCTGTGCATGCTGACCATCCCGTCGGCCTACCTTCCGTCGGATGCAGCTGCTGTGGCTGGTTCGGACATCGTTGTGTCCGGATGCCAGGTACGGTACCTGGGCGGGCACCTGGGGGTGGGGTGAGTCTGTTTTCTTTCCTTTCCCGCAGGATGGATCAATCAAGATATGGGAGACCCACACGTACGAGACCATCCACACACTGGCCGGCCACAAGAAAGCCGTGCTCTCCCTCGCACTACACCACCAACCACAGCCCCGGCCAACAGATGGCGGCAGCCCCACCAACAGCACAAGCAAAGGCAAACTGTGGCTGTTGAGCGGCTCATCGGACACCACTGTCTGCCTCTGGGACATCAGCTGCCTGCTCGTCTCCTCCACTGCTGCTGTATCTGACGGCGACGCGTCCCCCCACGCGACTCTCGTCGACTCGATGGACCACCTCTTCCCCTCACCCGATGGCATCCCCACCGTCCTCAAAACCACCAGTCGCCTCACTGCGGTCGCCCTGCCAGCAGCACCAGCACCGGCGCCTTCATGCCATCGGCCATCTCTGCGGACACAGGTGCGGTTTATGCCCTTGCAGGGCGACGTCTTGTCCCTCTGCACCGCACCTGCCGAGGGCCGGCTCAGCCGGCGGCACTCGCCGGCTGCAGCAGCAGCAGCAGAGGCCACCCGTCAGCCGTCATCAAGCGCCCACCCATACTTGGACCTCTATGTCGGCTTCCAGAACACCACCTGCGTGACACTGAGCCTCAACGAGCTGCTCGCTCCGCAGCAGACGACACAAAGGTCCGACGGAGGCGACGCGGCTTACCATTCGCTGGCAGTGGAGCCGCTGACGGGCGCGTCTCGCCACACGGGGTTCATCCAGGCGATTGTTGGTTGTGGTGAGTATGTGCTGACGGGCGGGGGCGACGGGATCATCCTGGTGTGGAAGGGCGGACGGATGGAAGGCGCGCTCAAGGGACACAGGTGCACAGGGACGTCGGCGAGAGACCAGCCAGGAAGATCTGTCTCCATGTGACGCGTTTCTCCATGTGACGCGCTTCTCTGTCTGTTGTGGTCTGTGTCGGTTAGGGGTGGGATTCTATGCCTTGCGAGTTCTGACCAGCACCGTCGCGACGGCAACCAAGCTACCGGTGGTGCATCGGGGTGGCGTCGGCCTCTGGGAGGCGGCAACCATGAGCGCATCGTCTTCTCCGGCAGGTGCGCAGCACAGCAACACCTAGCCACCCATCCCATCCTGTCACGCACTCTCTGTCTGTGTCTTCTCTCTGCAGTCGGGACAAGACCGTCCGGATGTGGGATGTCGAGCTGAGATGCTGCAGACAAAGCCTCATCGTACGATGGCCACATGGATGATGCACCAGACACGCCCATGGAAACACACACATAGATGTGTGCGTGTTTATATGATATCAGGGTCACACGAGTGAGGTCCTGTCGATAGCCCTGACGCACTGCTACGTCCTCTCGAGCGCCAACAGCGAGCTCTTCATCTGGTGCCGCGAGACACACCGCCTCCTCTCCACTGTCGGCACCACCAATGCCCTGCCAATGGGCACAGCCATCATCACGGCCACCATCGCCCTGCCCCACACGTCAGCCGCAGACGAGGACGCGCCACCCGTCGGCTCCAAACGCATCGACGATTTCTCCGTGCTGGTGGCTGGCGGCGACGGGCTCGTTCGGTGCGTGCAGGTGCGTGAGGAGTTCGAGGCACATGGGTCGGCGTCATTCAGCCCCAGCCCGTCGCCGCTTGAAGACCCCTCCTCGTCTGTTTGGGACGGCAATGACAGCGACTTCACTCTCGACGGGCTGGCCAGCCCACTGGCCGAGCAGTCGACGCCGGTCAGGGACACCTCCAGGGAGGAAGAGCGCAGGGTGGTGCTCCCGCCACCTGCAGAACCGCACAACTGCACTGGTGGCACAAAGAAGCGGCAAAAGGACAAGGACAGCAGAGAGGTGGCCGAGACGAGGGTGAGGTACGGCTTGCCCAGGTCGGCCGTGTTCGAGTTCGAGCTGCTATTCCGCCACCTCATCTCATTCAAGAGCGTCTCCGGGGACGTCAGCTGCCTGGAGGAGTGCTGGAAGAACGCCAAGTTCATCCAGAAGCTGCTCGAGCAGCTCGGTGCGCGGGTCAAGCTGTTCGCCCATCCCAGCGGGACCGACACGCCCCGCGCGCAGCAGGCGATGCCGGCGACTCGCGAGTGTGCCGGGTCGGAGGGCCGCGTGCAGTTTGAGGACTGCCACAGGCAGCGAGCGACGCATCCGGGGGCCAAGTCTCCACTGGTGGTGGGGCGGCTGGGCGACGACCCGGCCAAGCCGACGGTGGTCTTCTATGGCCACTACGACGTCGTGAGCGCGAGCATGGCGCCCCAGACATCGACAGGTGGGTTGACGAACAGTGCATGCGTGACCAAATCAGAGCGACAAGAGTGTGCTGTGTGTGCACGTTGTTCATTTTCTTCTCCTCCCCTTGTGTGCATGTGTCCCAGACTCTGGTGATGCGTGGCGCACGCCGCCCTTCGAGTTGACAGGACAGGACGGCTACTGGTTTGCATTGCAACCAACGGACACACACGAACACACACGCCACAGCACAGCACACCACCCACCCCTACTTTGCGGTGCTGTGTGTCGTCTGTCTGTCTGTCAGGTATGGTCGTGGCACGACTGACAACAAGGGCCCCATCCTAGCGTCCATCTTTGCCGTCAAGGCACTGCAGTCGCAGCGGCCCAAGGGCAGGTCACGCACTGGCTGCACCGGCAGCAGCAACGTGCGCAACGGCTTGGAGGCCCCACCCAACTCCAGACAGTGGAGCGAACGGAGCCGCTCGGCGGTCCAGGGCGCTACCGCGCTGTCCGAGTTGCCTGTCAACTTCGTGTGGATCATCGAGGGTCAGGACAGAACATCACAAGACGGAAACAGACAACCACACACTGCCATGCCAAGGGCTTGCCTCTGTTGTGTTGTGTGCAGGTGAGGAGGAGAACGGCAGTGTGGGGTTCGAGTCGATGGTGGCGTGTGCGCAGCGGGAGGGTTGGTTCGAGGGCTGCGAGTACCTGATATGCAGCAACAGCTACTGGATCGACGACCACACCCCCTGTTTGGTCTACGGCATGCGGGGCGTCATCGACTACCAGATAGAGGTGCGGGGGGGCGATGCTGACCTCCACAGCGGACTGCACGGGGGCATCGTCGCAGAGCCGCTGCAAGACCTTATCGCCCTTGTCAGGTACAAGCAGCAGAGAGAGAGAGGCACACAGGCTCGATGGATGACACATGGGGTCGACCGATGCCTTGGTTCCTTCCTGTGTGTAACTTGTGTTGCTTGCTGTCCGTCAGCACGTTGAATGACGAGCAGGGCAACCCCAATCCGGCCATCATTCCCCCGTTACCAGGCGTCGCTCTGCCCACCTGCTGTGCTGACGGCACGCCTCTCTTGAAACAGCCGCCGTGTCGGCACCGTCATTTTTCAAGAGAGGTGCGACGACACGCCGCCGAGCCACAAAGCACAGAAAAAACCAAGATCATGGATCTATCTGTGTGCGCGTGTGTTGATTCATTCATTCATATGTGTGTAGGAGAGCAGTCTGTTGGGGAGCTACTTCAACGTGGATCGCTACCGTCGGCAGATCAAGGGCGCGGCGCTCAAGTCGCAGAGCCCCCTCGACATCCTCTACCAGCGGTGGTGCGCCCCCTGTATCTCCGTGTCCGACATATTCACCTCACTCGCGAGAAAACACCATTACCACCACTATGCCCCCACATCGCCCACTGATTATGCCGCGCTGCCTACTGCGTCACACATTACCAACAGCAACCCCCGTGACGCCTCGACGACCGCTCAGGGGCTGCTGGCGGCTGCACTCAATGAGGCCAACGAGGCACCGGCTGCTGACGCCACCAGTGGCACAGGCGGCGATGAGACTCGTGCATCCCTCTTGCCGCAGCCGAGTCGCGATGACGGTAGTGTGAGGGAGGGAGGGGGGCGGCCGGGCGGCGTGGGCTCGTCTGCATCAAGAGGCAGTGGTGGGTCGCATCTGACGAAGGGCACATTCAGGGTCAGTCAGTGAGAAAGCAAGAGACAGACAGACAGAGAGCACTGTGTTCGTTCCGTTTGTTCTAATCGATCGATCGATCAGGTGATTCCCTGCAGTGCGGTGTGCAATCTGTCTATTCGATTTGTCCCCGACCAGGACGCCAATGCCCTGGTGGACCGCCTCACTGAGCACCTCACTCGCGAATTCGGCCGTCGGGCGTCGCTCAACTCGTTGAAGCTGCGGGTGGTCAGTGTGGGGGACGCATGGATCGCCCGGACCGACACGCACGACAGCAACAACAGCAGCAGCAGCAGCAGCCGGCAGGGCAAGTTGTTCCGCTGCGCCACGCGTGCGGTGACGGACAGCTGGGGCGTGCGGCCGCTGGTGATCCGCGAGGGCGGCACGATGCCTGTCATCCACTGCCTGAGTGCGGTGCTGGGCATCCCAGCCATCCAGCTGCCCATGGGCCAGTCCAGCGACGCCGCCCACCTGCCAAACGAACGAATACGCATGAAGAACCTCTACAAGGTATCTGACTGACGGATGATGATGCCTCAATGCCACAACGCCACCATGAGTGGTGTGATCTGACTGACATTTACCTTTCTGTGTTGTGTGTGTGTGTAGGGCGTGGAGATGCTGCAGCGGATGCTCGGCTATCTGGCGGAGGATAGTACTGGGGCGCCGTCGACGCACCTCACTGTGCCACACGCAGCGCCATGATCGATCGCAGGCAGGGAGACAGAAAACGCCTGCCTGCCTGCCTGCCGGGTGTCGAGTGGTGTGCCCCAATCGACCCAGTACTGACCACCGCGTGTGTGGGCCGTGTGTGTTTTTCTGGCCACATGCATGGCTGTCCGTCTGGCTGCCACTACCTGGCCGGTGCCCACTGCATTTGTGTTCTGCATGTCGTGTGCGGTGACAAATGGGTGTATTTGTCTGTGCTGCCTTGTCAGTGACTGGGCGGCTTACTTACTTCATCTATCGACGCTTGGTTCGTTTATTTGATGTGCCTGTGGCGTGTGTGTGCAGTAAGTAAGTGGATGGATGGACAGACAGCAATGAATCAACCTGCACATCCATCCACAAATCAACATGGGTTCACTCATATGAGTAGGTCTGCTATAGCTGCACGTACCGACACACGCACAGACACACGCACAGAGTCCAAATAGGCTGAGTACACACTGCCGAAAACACACTTGACACACCGACAAATCACAACCGATTGAACTGAACCACCGCCTCATCTAATCCGCCCCTCTCTTGGCACCACCCATGCCGCCACAACCGATATGTCATCCGCCCTCCCCCCCAATCGCCCCTCCACATTGCCGGATGCTGTGAGGCTGTCTCTGCGGGTGCTGTTGGCACATGCAGCCGAGCACACTGCTGACGCGACGTCGTGGGCTGTGGGTGAACCGGGCATTCTGTTGATGATGGTCTCGATGTCGTCGTCGCACAGAATGTTGGTTACACCAGGAGACAGGCAGAGCAAAAGATCACCCTCAGATGTCGCCAGACGATGCTCTTGTAGCGCCATCAGCAGAGTGGCGGGAGGGGGATCCATGCTGTGTCGCGGGGGAAAGAAAGAGAGCTGTCTCGGCGCGTTGTCGTTGACCATCATCGGCTCCGTTCGGCTGAGAATGTGCAGCTCTCCGTCCTCCGCATCTCGCCACAGAACCATGGCCACCGAATCCCCAAAAGACGCCATATCAACGCCATATACACCCCTCCCCTGGGCCATGTCCGGCGGCACTTGGTTGAGGGCCGCCACAGCAATTGTACTGGCCCCTCGTGGGCAGCCGCTTCTCTCGGCCGCCTCCCATGTCGCCACGATGAGGTCGGATGCTCGATTGTTGGTGACCGACACGATTGGCTGTGCGGTCGCTTTCTCCCTAGCGGTGTCGGCCAACCATTGAGTCAGCGGGCGCCCCGACCCTTCAGACCCACGAATGGCTGACACGCCGCCCGCCACCACGATGACCCCCGCGTGGTTGTCGAAGGCGATTCCATCAGGCCCTTCACTGTTGAGGGATCGAACGCAGGCGGCTGATTGAAGTGTGAGGGAGGGAGGGGGCTGGATCTGGGAAAAGAGGGAGGCGACGGGAGGCGCTGCGGCGGCGGGAGGGCGCTGTGGCGGTAGAGGGGCGATTTCCATGACCATCTCAGCGGCTTCATCAGGGGCCGGCACGTTTGTCGCTGTCGTGGGGCTGTGGTCGAAGAGGCCCCTCCACCACTGCTCGCAGCTGTGGAGGAATCCCTCGATCTCGTGCTGCTTTGCTGTGAGTATCTTGAAAGTGATGTAGCCGGCAGCACAGCCGATGACGACGGGATTCGTGGCCGCGTGGAGCACATGGAGGAGGGAGGCGGAAGCCACCTTCAACGCTCCCATCTTGCCCCCGCTGCCCGCGACCACGGCCACCACGCTGGTCTTGCTTCCCCAAGCGGCGGGCGCCGTCGTGGCGATGGGCATCTTGACTGGATTGGGGGAGGGAAGTAGAGCGCAGAGAGGGCGATGGGGGCGGGCGAGGAGGACAGCAGAGGCACAGGCAAAGCTGTCGTGACGCAGATCTTGGTCGACGAGGGCGTGAAGCTGCTCCGAGCCGATCTGTTTTGTCGTTCTGGGGGTCAGCAGGGGTCGATCCTTGAGCGTGCAACGTACGAGTCCTCGTCTTCCAACCTCCGCTGTGTCCGCCATCCATAAAAGCATCATGCCGGTCGTCACTGAGAACACGCCACCTCGGTCGGGTCAAGGAACTCCCCCTGATGACCACGGACGAGCAGACACGACAACTGAGGCGGCCATGCATGCCGACGGCAAGCCGGGCAGCGATACGGCCGTGAATGCAGCTGCTGGGCCGCCGGGGCCCGTCGTAACCATTCCTCACACACTCACCAAGGACACGCGAAAGAGCCCCAAGCACCCCTCGTCGATGGCGCCCATCCGATACAAGCAGATTGGTAAGCAAAGGGGAGTCTCAGTTTGTGTGCTGGTAATACGTCATCTCTCTCTCTCTCTCTCTCTGTCTGCTTCTCTGTTTGTGTGTGTGTGTGTGTGTGTGTGTGTGTGTCTTTTTATGTCCGCCGTGCTGCGACTACAGGGGAGGGCAAGTACATCAGCTGCCGCCCTGCAGTCGTCCACTTCTGCGGCTTCACTGTCGGCAAGGTCCATTCGCAGCGTGTGGAGGTGCTCAACACGTCCAAGCACCCCAGGAGGGTCAATATTCTCAACCCATCCGGGCATAACTTCTCTGTGCATTTCGACAAGAAAGGCGTCGTGGCACCCGGGATTGCGGAGGTGCTGCGAGTCGACTTTGCCCCGACCGAGTACTGCTATCATCATGACGAGATTCGGGTCCAGACGGAGGCTGGGGGGCTCCTCATCCCTCTGCATGCTTACCCGGCCTTCGTCCCGGTCGAGGTACCTCGGTTCGTCGACTTCGGAAGGGTGGCTGTCGGCGAAAAGAGGAAGAGACGTGTGCCGCTGCGGTGTGACGTGCCTGTGGAGTTCGAGTACGGTCTGACGGTCGTCTGCCCATCCATCGACATTCACATTGTCAAGCCCGCAGATATGAAAGGTAGACGGACGATACGAGCCGAGAAGAGCCGAGTTGGGACACAACACAAGTCACTACAGTCCGCCTTTGTCTCCTTACGTCTGCAGGCACCATCCCAGCAAGTGGCACAGCGGAGATTGTGCTGTCGTACAAGCCCTCTCAGCTGGGCACCTCTCGCCTCGAGTTTCAGCTGGACATCGCCCAGCTGTCCTTCGAGCCCCTGCTGATCGCCGCCTGCGGCTCATGCCACCCAGGGGTCGTTCGCGACCGGCGCGTGCAGGAGGGGCTGCAGACGATGCAGATGCAGACTGAGCAGAGACTGATAGACCAATACGAGGTGCCATGGAGAGAAAGGAGTAGCACGAAGAGACATGGATCTTATTGTCGTCGACTTCATATGATGAGCGCAGGAGCGAGCACAGGCGTTGATGAGTAGCGTGGACAGGCCCCCCATGGCCGTGTCGCCCCCCCGACGCCCCTCCCCGCCCCCCGACCGCAAGATAGCCGGGATCCGCGTGCCCGTGACGGGCGGCACCAGCACCGCAGCCACAAACTTTGTCCTCAACCAGACGGCGGGCAAGATTCCTCTGCGTGACCTGCCTTTGCTCATGGCCGAGCAGCGTGCGATACAGGAGAGGCGGCGTTGCAGGATGGAGGCCAGTGGAGGGGATATGCTCGGCGAAGAGGACGAAACACAGGAAGAAGACTACGATTCTGAGGACGCCAAACAGGTGGGCGCCCCAGCTGGAAATGTATAAGACTTCTATTATTCGTTCATTTGTGGTGATTTGCGTGGTGTAGGCTCGCGAGATGCGCTTCGACCTTCAGTGGCGTGGCGTGCAGGAGGCCGATAAGGCCAAAGCACTCAAGACGGGCGTCTTCATAGGCGAGCTGCCGCCTACAGAAGACACACAATCACGCATACGCAATGCACAGGAGAAGAGCTTGCAAGATGCCCTGGAGAAAAGGCTGCAGGTCGGCCGAACTGCGCGAGACACGGCATGGCCAGCCGCACATAGCACAACTGTGTGTGTCTGTTACGCCTATTCATGCAGGCGGACATAGGTCGCACGCAGACCGAGGTGTCCTCCCAGGCCGTTGTGACCATCGGTGGCTTCACCGAGCGCATCCGCCGTACCCAGCCCCCCACATGGGACGAGCACCACACCAACAGCTTCCCTCTTAGACTGCAGGTGAGACGTGCACACAGACACACACACGCTCCTCATTAACCGGCGCGTATCAGGTGATCGATCGCTTTCTGAGGGCGGCGACGAAGATTGTGATGCGCACTCGGGCAGGGAGGCGGCTGCGGCGCCTTCAACACGAGCTTCGGCAGAACCACGTCACCAATCGGGCGACCTGCCGAGAGTGGGTGGAGTCGGAGACCAAGGCCGCCCTCACGGGCACCAGCAAACGGGACCAGCAGAAACGCGACAGCACTGCGAGCCAGGCAGCAAGTGCGGCGCCGTCGTCAGGCGTCCCCACTCTCGAGATTGGTCCGCATCTGGTGTTGCCAGAGCGGTTTCCCATCTTCTTTACACAAGGGGCGAGCAACACGGCGGCAGCAAAAGGCAAAGGGAAGGAGAAAGGGACCGCGGCCTCATCGTCGAGCAGCAGCAGCGGCTACGCCATACTCGAGCCAGTGGACGTCGAGCCCATTGATGCCTATGACTCCTGGGAGCCGATCGAGCCGAAACCGCGTCTCGACTTCGAAGTCATGGCCTTGCGGAGCGTTCCCGCCCCTCCTGCCGCCAGCTATCTCCGTCTGCAGCCCGACAGACATCCGCTAGATGGTGCCCTGGAGGAGAGGGGCGTGAGGGGGCCGCGAGGAGCCATCGATGATGGGGCTGAGGAGCCGATGGCGTTGTCAGAAGAATGCCTGCTGCCGTTGGAGCATGACCCTGTGCAGTTGCTGTTGCCGAGGCTGCAGGAGGGGCAGCCACAGATAGAGCTGCCCACATGCCCTGAGACCAGCATCGAATATCGACTGCAACAGGTAGGTAGGGAGACACGAGACGCAACCTGCCTTTGAGCGTGTCTCATCCATCCATCCACTGGCGAGACGTGTGTGCAATCGATGCAGCCGGTGCCCCTCCGCCACCCGCCCAGACATGCCCCCCTGCTCCCCAGCTACCTCAACGTGGCTGACCCATTCCTCTCCGACATGCACCGACACAGCCGCTCACTCTGCCAGGACTTTGTCGACGACATCTTCGGCGCAAACAGCTGCCCAGCCGGCGGGATCGGCTGGGCGGGCAGCGGAGGGGCGGCACCGGATGTCATACGGGGCGACAGAGTCGACTGGCTGCCCCAGGGAGGGCTCGATCGTGACGCGTTGAGCGACACAGATTCGGACGGCAGGGACGAGGAGTTTGATGTGAGTGCGCCCGAGCATGGGACGTATATGAAGGATTATGTGGCTCAAGACCCGCCCCCGAAGCCGCGCTTCAAGGAGGGGATTGATAGCATGTGGGTGCGGTCGATGGCTGCAGTGGACGGCAAGCTTGATGTTCATTTGGAGGAGACTGCCAATGTGATGAAGGAGAGGTGAGTGGGCTGCGTGTCGGAGGCCTGTGTGGTGCTGGTGGATTCTTTCGCCTGTGTGTGTGTGTGTGTGTGTGTGTGTGTAGGTTGGCGTCTCTGAATGAAGAGCTGCCTGCAGCGAAGAAGCTGACATTAGCGTGACAGACGAGCTCAAGTGCGTCGTGTTTGCCTCCCTGCTGGCAATACATGAACGAACTAAGCCTTTCGTCTCACAAACAATGGCTCCGATGAAACTCACAAGGCTCTCAGACATCCACGTCTGCACGATGGCTAATCCAGCTCCTGCATGCGACAAACCGACACACGACAGACACAGAGCAGCCGATGAAACAGGTTCACCTTTGCGGTGTCCGTCCGTCATTCCTCCACCCAACACAATCCACACACCCACCTTCATTCGTCTCGTCAGCCGGTCCGCCCTCGCCCGCAGCTGCGGGTGAAACCGCCTCGCGTCACACCTCATCCGCCGCCAAACATTCGCCACACCCACGTCTATCCTCTCCTTCAGCAAAGCCTCCTCCTCTCGCTCGTGCCGGCTGTCGCCCGTCAATCGCCGCCGCACACACGCGCTCTTCACCAGCACCTCAAGGCCTGCCAACAGGTCAGTTGACGAGAGGGGGGACCCGTGCTGCTCCCTGAGCACTGCAGCGGTTGACTTGTTGCCCTCCCGTGGGGAGGGTGGGGGTGCGTCCAGCCACCTAACAAGGCTGTCCTCCGTCCACTGGCCGAACTGCTGCAGGTGTTCCACTGTCGATGGCTGGAAGGGCAGGTCCTCTTTGCTGCCGCGTCGACCCACCACGGCTCGAAACATGTCCATCAGGCCACGGCATATGAGGCACGTGTAGAAGAAAGACCCATGCTGAACGGGATCAGGGTCAAGGGCCAGCTGAGCCACTAAGAGGTCGGTAAGTGACGCGTACACAGGTGGCGGGTCACCTGACCTTTGTTGGATGGGAGCGATCAGCATTAGTCGCCCCACCGCTGCCAGCAGCATCACATTGTTGTGTGCCGGCAGCTGCGATAGGCAAGATGGCTGTTCGAGGAAGGACTGGGTCAGAGGATGGACAGCCTCCACGACGGCCTTGACAGCGGACGGCTGGTCGCCGATATAATCCGACAGGCTGAGCAAGAGGTCAACAGTGAATGGGGGTGTGAGTGAGGGTGCCCTCTCCAGCAACGTCTCGACGAGCGGTGAAACGGTCTCGTTGTCCTTGAGATCATGCCGGATGAACGCCTTTAGAATAATGACCTGAACACAAGAACAAGATGGATGGCAGCACAGCGCCTCTTTGCAGTGGGGCGTCGGTGCCGCATTGCGTGTGTGAGTGACCACCAGGCTGTCTGGGCTGAAGTGCGTCAGCTCGCGACGGACTCGGGGAGCAAAGAGATCCAACATCTGAACACAACAACAACACCGTTCACGGCCAGCAATCACTTGTCACAGATAAGATCTCACTCCCTGTTTACCTTAGTCCCATCTTCTCGTCTGCTGAAGATCCTCAGCAGCGAAGCCACGTCCCGCAGCTCCATGCTCTCGTGGTGCCGCTTGACGTCATTGCGGATGCCGCGCCACACAGCATCGTCATACACGCCGCGCTTATACGCCACAATCGCCTTCCTCACAGCGATCTTGCTGGGCGATGAATGACGCTTCCCAGACTGCTCCCTCCGCGTGTTGCTGCAGATATCAGAGAGGCGGCGGCGAGTGGGTGACGCAAATGTCATGCTACGAGAGATCGGTTGCGGGATCTTGTAGACGAGTGAAGTCCCGGTCCTCATCATGTGATTCACATCGACTGCTGTGAAAAGAGGAGAAAGCATGATGGACAACGCGATGAGCTACGCAGTGTATGCGCTTTCACTTCCTCACGTACAGTTGGGTTCATTCAGCATGCTGCATCGCTGCTTGCGCCGCTGCAGCTCTGCTTCCGTGGCGAGATCGGGATCGCGCGGGGCCCTCAGGCTCAGTTCGGGGACGGACGCCGTTCCCGATTTCGACCGCCTTTTCGCCGTGCACGAAATTTCCTGCTCACACGCAGCATTGAGAGCATGCAGGAAACCTCCATTGACGCCCTCGGGGATTCTGGCCCCCCACCAGCCCCCTCATCCCGCATGCAGCCAAGACTGAGAACCTTCGCTGAAATCAACAAGGCAAGCGGCCCAGGCAACGCACAGGACTATGCCGCCAGCCTGGTGAGTGAGCGGAGCTGCACGGCCCTCTCTTCTCAAAGGGAGGAAAACCCTTTACATTGCAGTGCATGCGTTGGGAGGGAGGGAAAAGATGACGTCGTGTTGTTGTTTTCCTTCAGCGGCCTTTTCTATCCATCAAGGAGGGACCTGTCATGGGTATAGGGCCTTCAGTGGAGTAAATCATCATCGATCTGCTTCTCTCTCTCTCTCTCTCTCTGTGTGTGTGTGTGTGTGTCTCAGGTCCCCATCCATTGTCGTTGAAGCGTCAATCGAATCAGTATTTGCTGGAGCCGGAGACCATCAAGTCACTGGAAAGCACCATGGAGGGACACCGGAGAGGCGCACACTGGTACTTGATCGAATAGACGTTCCAGGCTTCAGAGTCAGGAATGTGTGTCTCTCTGCGGGTGGTGTCGGCTCGCAGGTTCCCAAACAGCAACTGCTGCACATTCAAACCCCTCACTACCATGACAAACGGTGAGGAGGCAGACTTGCATCACCTTTCTTCACATCGATTTGTCTGTCTGTCTGTCTGTCTGTCTGTCTGTGTCTCTCTATCTACACGTCTTTCCTCCTGCAGGAAAGGAACACAAGTCTGCCACCTCTCTCTTGAATGAGCGGAAAAAGGTCAGCTACAAAGCATCCCTCCTCGCTTGCCATCGATTCACACACAGACCAGCTCTCTCTTCTTGTCTGCCGTGCCTGCAGCAAGTTCGTTCGAGCAAGGACCCGAACGTGAAGTTCGACAAGGTCAGACTCGAGTCGCAGGAAATCGGATGGAAGATCAAAACGGTGAGACGCTGACCTGTTTCTTAGGATTAGTATCCTGATATCGTCCTTCACACTTTGGTTGCTCTTCAGGCGAAGGTGGAGGGTCCCCCGCACGGCCTCAGAACGGTAAGCGGGCAAAATAGTTCTGTCTCTGTGGTTGCGCGGGCTCACGTGTGTGCTGCGTTGCGTATGTGTGTGTGAGCAGTCTCACGTGACGCGTTTCTACGACAACATGCTGCTCACTAAGTCTCACCACATCATGAGGGGAGCACGCTGACTGAATGGGCGGCCTACCTGCACAGTGGCACGCAGACGTACATGGGACCTCTCCACGTCCGTCTCCCCATCGGCTGGACGTCAGTCAATGTTAATCGTCCGTCACAAATATCGGCCCTTGATGGCAAGTTGATGCCCCCCTCGCACGACCATGCGAGTACAAGTCCAAGTGGTCATCCATCCATCCATCCATTCATGCATCATGATCAGGACGTACACACGACAGCAGGCAATCAGGACTGATGCTTGTAGACAGACATACGTCAACAGAGCCAGAAACCAATGTCGATCGATGATCGATCGATCGATCGATCGATCGAGAAGCGAAAGAGGAACCATTGACCAACCAAACAGACGAAGAAGCCCAAAGAGGCACACACCCACCCCGCACTCAGTTTTTTGGCACGGTCTGCTGCGCCCTCAGCTCTCTGAAATGAGTAGCCGCTTCGATCACAACCTGCAGCACGCACACGACAAGGCGCCACATCCACAAAAAGGGGGCGGACCGTCATGTACAGGGATGAGTCATGAGTGCATACCTTTCGATCTGGGGATCTCTTGACGGGTATGTGGTTGAGGTTGATGCGCCCGTTGACGATGAGCAGTGGGTTGGCCTGGCTGAGAACCTCCTCGCTCACCGACACGCCGTCGAGGAACTGCTTCAGGATCGACTTGAGCTGGTGGTTCTCCTGCTCCAAACGAGACGTCTCCTTGTCGATCGCCAACCTGCACACAGAGACAAGTTGGTAAGAAAGAGAGAGAGAGAGAGTGTGTGTGGTGGATGGTGGGTGGGCGGATAAGCTGGTCCCCGACCGACTGACTTGTCGAGCATGACTTTGTTGTATCTCTTGAGGAACGTGTCGAGATACGACCACTCATCGACACCCACATCGCTCAACGCATCCTGAAGAACAAAGGGAGAAACGAGAGACAGCACGTACAGACGGGCCACTCTCTTTTTCTCTTCCATCCATCTACTCACCCTGACTTCCTCCCTGAAGTCCTCCTGGTCCCACTGCAGCTCGTCCACATCCACATCGCGACTCAGGTAGAAAGACAATACCTTCTCGCGCTCTGTCTCGTACTTACTGCAGGCAAACGGGCAGGCAGGCGGCAAACCAGGCAAGGACACCCACACGCACACATCCCCATGAACAGGCCAGCAGAGATGAAAGAGGCTCACTTGCAGAGCTCTGCTGTCCTGAGTATCCGCTCGCCCATCTTGATCTGCTCCTGCAGCTTCTGAAGGCACTCCTTTGCGTTGGTCGTCAGGTCCGCCAGACGACCGCGCTCCTCCTCCCTGCACACATCCAGGAGCAGTGCACGATCATTCGCAGGCCGACAGAGACACGAACGTGTGTGTTCCGCATCGCCTACCTCATTTTTGCCATTTTGGCTTTGAGTTCTTGAAAGTGCCTCTGAATCTGCTCCTTCTCTGTCCGGAGCTGGGCGTTGCGGACCTCACACTCCTGAGGGAAAGAAGAAATATTGCAGACAGACGAATGAATGAGTCCCGGCTGCAGCGGCTTGGCTTACTGACCTGTTTGTTCTGTGCGATCTTCATTTTCCAGTGGGCAATGCTCGACTGCATCCTCTCCACCTGGGTGCAATCAGCAACGAGTGGCTGGCTGGCATGGCACTCCAGCTCGTGTGTCCGTCCCTGCCCACATCCGTACCGCTCTGAGCTTCTGGTCGACCTTTCTCGAGAGGTGTGCGTCCTGCTGCAGCAGCCGCTTGTACTCCTGTGCGTGGCTGTCGGTGTTGTCGCGGTAGTTCTGCAGTGCTGTGTTGCAGCGCTCTTTGATCTGGTCAATGATCTCCTCAAGACGGGACTTCATCTGATGGTCCTCCTCGATGTTACGATTGCGGATCAACTCATACCTGACACGCAGTCCCATACACATGTCTCATGGGGTGGCGGCGGGAGTCTCTGTCTGTCTCTGTCTCTGTCTCTGTCTCAGTGGCTCACTCACTGTGTGTTATGTTCGGTGGTTTCCATCTGCTCTCTGCCCTTCTCCTCGTTGTCAATCCGCTGCACCACGATCTGCAGCTCCGACTTGAACAGGTTGTGCGCCTCCATAATGTGCTCTCGCTCAGTCAAGAACTCGCTCTCGATCTCCTTGACCATCCGCAGAAACTCCTCCTCCAGACCCTGAGGCACAGACACACATATAGCAGTGTCTCCCGCAGTGTCTCCCCCGCTCGACGGACTCACCTCTAGCCTGCTCTGTTGTATTTCGAAGAGCTTGTCGATGTTCATGAGGTGCGAGCGGACGATGGTGAGCTGCTGCTCCTCCGACTCATTGAGGTCCCTGTCGTACATCTGCAGCAGCGCATCCTTGCGCTCTAAGTCGCGGTCGAAGATCTGCGAGAGCACTTCCGTCTCCAGCTTCAGATCCTTCGTCTGCACGACAGAGAGGAAGGGAACATACAAGATGTGTCCGCGAACACAGAGGGAGGGCTCTGGCGTGTTGCTTCAGTGATGACCTTTGCCGCCCTCATGACGCGCAGCCAGCTCTCCTGCACTTTGTTGAGATTCATCTTGGTGTTCTTGGCCTCCATTAAAGCCATCGACTGCATAAACACACACACACATACCAACACAGATACACAACGCACAAGGGCCATCCCATCCATCCGTTCAGCCGTCCACCCAGCTGCCTACAGCTGCCTGACCTTGAGAAACTTTTTCTTGTAGGCTGTCTGCAGCTGTTCCCTCTCCTCCTCTCCCATGGCCTTAATCGTCTCCATCAGCTGCACCTCTGCCGCAGGCATCGGCCATCGACGCAGGCCCTTGAAGTCCAGGGCGCTGGGTAGGCTCTTGTTGTACTTGGCCTCCGCCGCCGCCGCAGCGGGGTCCTCCTCGGGAGGTGGAGCAGCAGCAGCGGCTGCACTGGGTTCTCCACTCGCCATGACGGGTGTGCTTTTCGGGGACTGCACTGGGGCTCGCAATCGTGCAAGCTCGCACATCCGGGTCTCCTTGAAACCGCTGCTGCCGGATCTTCCAAGCCTTTTTCGAACCTCGACAGAGACGAGGTTTTGAGATCTCTCACCATGGCGGAGCACGCAGAGCTGCTCGGATACATCAAGGCGACGGGCCGCCCCGGCGACTTGTCCACCTACAGGGGCAAGAACGTGGCCTTTCACGTGAGCGCCAACACAGAAACCAGATGCGCTTTTCATTGCGCACATACGTGTGCCTTTTGCGCGTTTTTCGTTTCGCCTGGGCGCCGAGGTGATCTTCACGGTGCGTGAGCACGGAAGGGCATCTTTCTCGTGTGCAGGCGGCGAAAAGGCTGCTGGAGAACTTGGTGTTTTTCTCGCTTGCAGGCCGCTGGCGCCAAGGACCTTCGTCAGGTCGTGACGGACTCATCTGCAGTGGAGGAGCTGATAGAGAGCGCCGTGAAGCGCCTGACCATGTTCAAGACAGAGTTCAACATCAAGCCGGTCAGGCAGCTAGCAAGACTGCCTGCCCGCAGACGCGTCCCAGTCAATGCTGCTGTTCTCTCTCTGTAGGTTGTGTGTTTCGAGGGCGCTTTGAGCCCACCTGAGGCGCAGGGGGGGATCTTCCTCCGGTGCTGGGGCAACCGCGACATCTTCGACGCCCAGCGCAAGATCGGCCAACAGATGCACAAGGTCGGTCGGCGAGTCGAGTGGTGTAGTGAGCTGTGGGATGTGCACTGTGTGTGTGTGTGCAGGCATTGGAGAAAGTGGGCATCTTCTGCATCCAGTGCCCTGGATACGCGTCTGCTCAGTGCGGGAGCCTCGGTGTAAGCACACAGACGCCCGTGCCGTTGGCCGCTGCAGTCATGCGCTGCCTTGTGCCTTCCATCCTGTTGCAGGAGCGCAAGGAGGTCGCTCTGGTTGTGGGGATGCACTACGACATTTTCCAGTGGAAGTGCCCCAGGGTGAGTGAGCCAGGCAAGCAGGCAAACGCCGTGGGTGCGTGCAGTCTGTGTGTGTGTGTGTGTGTGTGTGTGTGCAGGTGATGTATGATTTGGCTGAGGACGGTAAGGGGCTGCTGGTGGAGCTCGACAGCGTCATGAAGGACTGGGGGCTGCACAACCAGTGTATGCAGGGACAAGTCGACACACAGACCACCCAACCACACAGGCGGCCACGCTATTCGTGGTGGCTGGATGCCATCCATGGTGTGTCTGTCGCGTGCAGATGACTTGACACTCGCCTTCACACTCTTCGCCACCCTAAACCAAGACGAGAACCAGCCCCTGCAGCCAAAGGAGGCGTTCACGAAAGCGATCAACAAAGCCAAGAGCGGTGCGAGTGGTGCTACCGCGGGCCGCAAGTGACGCCGATCAACAACATCACAAACTAATTTGCTGGTGAGCTGATGTTGTTGTGGATGAGTCGACAGCCTGTATGGGGGGGGGGGAGTAGGTCTTTACTCGGTTTCGGTCGATAAGTAGGTATGCATCTCATTCAACTCTTTCTTGGCTGCTCAGTCAAATGGACCCTTTATATGGATGGGAGATGGGAGGGAGGCGGGGAATTTTGGCAAGCGACAGATAGAACATGCTGCTGCGTGCACCGCGCTCTGTGTACTGACTTCCGGCTTTATGTAGGGTGACTGGGTGGTTCACCGCTCGTATACGTGTGTTGTGTGTCTGTGTGGACAGACAGCCCATGCATTTTCGTGTTCATTCTCATGGCATGTACCAATCAGCTCGTCAGTCAAAAGCAATAGAGCAATCCAGTCGACACCCACCCGAACGAGCGAGCGAGTCACAGAGAGAGAGACCAACTAAATGACTCTCTTGCACTGCAGATCCTCACAAATGCCCCTCTTATCCACTGAATGACAGCCCAGCCCTCTCTCTCACGCTGCCCTCTGCTGGTCAATCGCCATTCTGACGGCCTCTACAGTGGCGTTCAGCCATCCATCCATCGTGGGGTCGTCGGGACACGTGACGGCGGCAAACACGCCGCTCCTTCTTGCCTCTTCAGCACTGGTCGGCCCGATGCAGGCCGCATACACCGAAGGTGATGGTGACGGCGCATCGCCGGCTGTTAAGTGTGTCCATCCCTTGACAGCGCTGGGGCTCCCGAAGGTCACTACTCGTGCTGCGCGGGCCGCCTCGACCATCGAGGACGGCAGCACATGGGGGCCGTCCTGGTGGATGCCGAGGGTGGTGTAGGTGTTTAGTCGGGTGACGTCAAAGCCACGGTCGGCTAGCCCGCTCTCCAGTGTTGCCTGAGCCAATGCCGACGCGGGATAGAGCACCCTGAACCAATCAACGCCACACACACACGCAGGCAGAGAAACAGACAGGAATGAGTGAGGGAGGGAGGGAGGCGTTGGTTGCTCTTCTCCCTGCTATTATCGTCCGGACCTGTTGTTGCCTTTGTGCGGCAGCTCCTGGGCCAATGTCTGTGCAGTGGAGCGTGAAGGCGTGAAGGCCGGCTCCATTCCCCCCTCCCGCAGCACCGCAGAGGTCCCCGCCCCAATGGATGCAATCGACAGCTCCCTCCTTCCGGCCATCTCCCGCACACCCTCCACCAGCACCTTGGCGCTCTCGGGCGACGTCACACACACCCAGTCGAAGATCTCCTCCGTCAGCACCTGAGGCAGCCTCGGTCGGTCCCTGCCGACAGCCGTCTTGATGCATGGCAGCTCGACCGTCGGGATGCCTCTCGCCTCGAGCATCGCTCTCAGCTTGCCGTTCTTGCCCTCTTCTCGCGTGAGTGCCACTGGCGGGAAGGACCCTGGCACCCTGACGAGCGACTCATCGGGAGAGGGAGATGTCATCGTCATGGCGCGTGCTGACAGCGACGGGAGCGCACTGGACGATGAGAGGAGGAGGGGCGCGTGGTGGGGACTGGGGGAGAGTCTTGAGTGGCAGAATGCTGAGTGGAGGAGCGCCAAGCTGTCCATGGGAAGCATATTGGTGAGCAGGGAGATAAAGGGAAGCGCGTGGAGACCATTGCTGCTTCGACAGGGCATTTGGGGAAAGCCCCTCCGCACTTGCTCGACAGCTCGCAACCCTGGCCGGCGGGTGTGTGTCTGCCTCGTCCCCTGCTGTCGATGTGACGGCGAGAGATAGATAGTGAATCAGGTAGGTAAGTGTGAGCAGGTCCCGTACGTCGCCCATCCATCCATCCATCCATCCATGTCTTTAAATTCCCCGAGCAAAGCATCATAGCGATGCACGGCACGGCACGGCACCTGTCTGACTGTTTGTTCTCTGCATGTGTGTGGCCCCGCGACACAAGCACACCACCACGCCCATCCATCGCCACCACCCACACCAAAACGTCCGTATGCACGCGTGTATGCAATGCAGGCACGCTACGCTACCTTTGCGCCGCATCCATCCATCCATCCATCCAGTCCATTCCATCACCTGCTTGCAATCGCAAGACCCCGACCGACCCCAATTGAGAAGGAAGGAATGCAGAAAGCGCGAGGCGACCAGCAACGGCGTGGCGTGTCTGAGGGCAAGGCAGCCAGGCAGGCAGGCAGGCAGTCGAGACACCGGTGGTTAGTAGGCGACAAGGGGAGAGGGAGAAACACACGAACGAGGGAGGGAGGGACTGAGGGAGGGAGGGAGAGAGGCAGAGAAGCGCGTATCAGACCGTGAGTGAGCAAGCAAGCCAGCAAACAAGGATGGATGGATGAGAGTGAGAAGAACACCAGCCCCTTCCCCACCCCCCCCCCCCCC